AAAAAAAGAATTTTTTTTTACTCACTTGTACTAACCATATTTTATGTGCTAAATTAGTCCCTGGTGGCTACAGCACTGCACAGAATTCATACATAATGACAACCTAATCAGAAAAGGTTCTGACTGGACATGATGGCACACATGTGTAATCTTAGGCTTCTAGAGGCAGAGCCAGGAAGATTGTCATGAGTTTTTACTGGAACTTTTAGTAATTGAGATGGACTCAAGTGTTCTCCTCAAGCATCAAGTAGAGACAGAAGATGAAAGGATTTCAACCCACCAGCACGGTGCTTACTCCATAGTAGACCTCACCTAGTTACTCAGTTGGATTCCAGGATGTGGAGGTTTCCTTCTGACAGCTATTAAGCATCACTGTCTGTCCCTTCGTTTTATGAGTGAGTAGGCCATAGGACACCCTGTGAAATGGCTAGGTGACAGTGAGCATGTGTCAAGAAGGGAGCCAACAGTGTGAGATAGTGAATGCCCAAGTACTGGATCCTTTCTCAATAGAACTCTAAAGGGACAGAACGGTTGGTACCATGTTAAATAGTAGGACAGTTGTGTCTCATGTTGGTTTTATATGTTCTGAAGTTGTCTTGTAATAAAGAAATAAGATTTTCGGAATGTCCATGAAAATCATTGCTTCACTAGAGCTGGCAGCATTAGATTTCTGATCTCTTCGAAGCATAGGGGCTGTTAGTGTGAATAGTGCAGGGCCCAGGCCAGAAGATGCTGAGCCTTGGAGGCTTCATGAAAGTCATTGCTATCTTTAAGACTGGTAACAGGGCACACTTTGCTCTCTGAGAGGAAGTCGTGGAATCTTCTGACTAGAAGTGGAGTTAATGAAGTACTAGGAAGGCTTACACATGGTTTTATGGTTTACCAATTAAGAACAAATGTTGAAATCCAGATATTGGAATCTGAAGACACATAATATCCATCATAAATGGGCTTAAAAAATAGCTGCTTTAGGTGTTCCATGAAGATTTAATGCCTGTGAGTAAATAGCCCATTGTCTCCTTCACAGATTTAAAATTCTGAGCAAAAACTAGTGCAATTTTACCTAGGAGGAAATGTAGGCATGGAGGGGCTCTGTGAATGGAAGGTTTGGATCTACCCTGTGCTTTTTAAGTATCTCTAGACATCCCACAGAAAGATGCGGTCTTAGACATCATATATAGCAGCATTCTGGCTCAGGATATTTTGATAGTGATTAAGGTGGTCCAGATTCAGGGACAACCACTGTGGCTAAGCAGACACTGCTCTGTGTCCACCAGGGGGCAAGTGCATCCTTGCCATTAGAAGGCTGGTCTCTGCTTAGAGTTCTACCAGAGAACACACTCTTGTCTCAGCCTTCAGTTTTCTCTGTTTTCTGCCTTATCTATCTCATGACCAGAAGTGAGATTGGTAGCTGTATGTGAGGAAGGACGGGGAAAGAAGGGGGTGTTTGAGAGGACAGCTGTCCCTAGCAGAGAGGCCTATGTGATTCATAGTCAGAATGAAGACCTGCCCTGATATAGTATACTGAGTGCCATAGCCAAGCAGAAGGTTATTTTAAGTGTGTTACATTTGTATATGTTGCATTTGTTTAACTCTGTGAAGCTCTGTTACTGTGCCTGTCTAAAACACCAGATGGCCTAATAAAGAGCTGAACGGCAGGACAGAGAGATAGGTGGGGCTGGCAGGCAGAGAGGATGAATTGAAATTGAAATCTGGGAAAAGGGAGAAGAGGAGAAGAAGTAGCCAGAAAAGGAAGAGGACATAAGGGACCACAACCCAGCTACACAGCCAGGCACAGAGTAAGAGTAAAATTTTTAGAAGTAAGAGAATGGAAAAAGCCCAGAGGAAAAAGGTAGACAAGTTAATTTTTTTTTGAAATGTAGTAATATACATTTACTGTTATTAAAAAATTTTAGTGAACCATAACTTAGAAATACATTTCTTTATTGATTTTAGAATTTTATGCATGTATACAATGAAATATAGTCATGCATAACCCCCATTTCTCCCCACATTCCCCCAAGACAGACTAATTTAAAGTTAAGGAAAGCTGGCAAGAAATAAGTCAAGCTAAGGCAGGGCATTTATAATTAAGAATAAGCCTCCATGTGTGATTTATTAGGGAGCTGGGTGACAGGCCCCCCAAAAGAGTAAAGAGCAAAAATAAACAACAACAGTGTGTCTTCTCACTGTCCTGCAGGTCAACACCATGATGCATCCTCAAGTCTTCATTTCAGGACTCATACTGCTTCTCCCAGGTCAGTGAGTAGGTGAGCTGGGGGAGGCTGAAGAGGCTAGAGCTGGCAGAAGAGATGACAGTCCTCGGGCCTTTTTGATTAAGGCTTATGTCATGAGCAGAGAACCAGGATAAATTGTAGCTCCAAAGAACTTTCTTAACCTGTATGAATTTCAAAACTTATGGCTAAATGAACATGATCCCCAAGAACATGTCAAGCAAGAGTGAGAACACATGCATTCATGTGATAGATAAGTAAGGGTGAGTGCATGTGCATGCATGTGATGGACAAGTTAAGGGTGAGGACATGTGCATATATGTGATGGACAAGTAAGGGTGAGTGCATGTGCATGTGCATGCATATGTTGGTCAATTGTTAATAAAAAAAAAATCAAACAGAGCCTTCCATACAGGATGGCTAATCAAAGTTAGCCTTAATTCCATTTCTCTGTGCGTTTTTGCTTATTTAACCACTTTCAATTATTTATCTTAAAAACATTGTAATTCAGGCTAGAGAGATGGCTCAGAGGTTAAGAGCACTGGCTGTTCTTCCAGAGGTCCTGAGTTCAATTCCTAGCACCCACATGGTGGCTCACAACCATCTGTAACGAAATTTGATGCCCTCTTCTGGCCTGTAGTCATACATACTACTATATTCATAATAAATAAATCTTAAAAAAAATCATTGTAATTCAAAGTGTTCCATGAAAATGGAAAAGAAGGAATAACATAATTGTCTTTGAGACATGGTCTAACTTAGTCCAGGCTGGCCCTGTCTTCATAGCTAGCTGAGGATCATCTCAAACTTTTGATCCTCCTGCCTCTAGGTCTGAGATTCTCCTAAAAGCTGAGATCACTGGTGAGAAATAGAATATGTTTCTGTGACTTAATTAAAATAGCATTTGTCTTATTTGTGATCCTAAAAAAAGGTATTTGGCAAAATCAAAAAATGAGTATTCCAAAAAGAAACATAATACTCACTTTATGCAATTATTAATGTGTTTTCTCAATCATGTACCAAACTCACAGCCTAGTCCTGCATATAGGTGATTAGTTAGGGAATCTCACAGTTCATTGTTTTTTTGCTTTTGTTTGTTTATTTGTTTGTTTCCTGTGCTGGGATCCAACACAGGGGCTAGCACAGGATAGCCAAGCACTGTATCATTGAGCTCCATCCAGAGCCCTCAGAGTTCCTTTAAAGGCCTCTGCGGAAGCTGTTGAAATTTTATTAGAAATTTTATTCCATGGTCCCCAAAAGAATTATATTTAATCATTTCTGTTTTTAAATTGCATCATTAAGTTATTGGTTACATATTTTCTGACTGTGTGGTCTTACTTTGCTAGTGGGTCTTGCTCAAGTTCTGGAATGTCAACAACTTATAAGAAGGGACCTCTGCTTAGTGTTTTTTGTTGGCTTGGTTTTTGGTTTTGCTTTTTGTTCGTAAAGTGTTAATCATAAAGTTCAGAATAAAGCACAGCCCCTCCTGGTGGTTTTCTTAAACCCTTTCTGAAGACTGACTTTGAAGTTATTAAGGTTCTACCTTGAAGCCAACAATGCTTTTCCAAAGCCCAGGCTCTGCTCTTGGATTAGGAGAGGTGGGAAGAGTTAGTGATTTTGTTGTCATAGCACTGTGGGAGAGGAGGAGGAGGGATAGTTTGAGACAGGGTCTCCAAATCCTAGGCCTGCCTTCAACTCAATAGTTAGATGAAGCTGGCCTTGAATTCCTCATCTTTCTCTCTCTACCTCCCAAGTTCTGAGTATACAAGTCAGTTCTAGGTATACAAGTGAGTTCTAGGTTTGCAAGTGAGTTCTAGGTTTACAAGTGAGTTCTGAGTTTACAAGAGAGTTCTGGGTTTACAAGTGTTACTTTTGCACCCAGCTTCTGAAATAAAGTTTTAAATGTTTAATAATGAAACATTTGAGCTGGTCTCAGTGGCACTTGCTAATTACCCAGCACTCAGGAGGTAGAAATGGGAGGATTGTGATTTAAGATTTATTTATGTATACAACATTCTCCCTCTATGTAGGCCTGCTCACCAGAAAAGGGCGCCGGATCTCCTTACAGATGGTTGTGAGCCACCATGTGGTTTCTGGGAATTGAACTCAGGACCTCTGGAAGAGCATCCAGTGCTCTTAACCTCTGAGCCATCTCTCCAGATCAAGGATTGTGATTTAAAGCCAGTATGAGGCATATAGCAAGACCCTGTGTCCAAAAGAAATACCACACCGAAGAAGAAAAAAGAAATGAAAAGTATCTGTGTGAATATCCTACCACAGAATTAGTTCTCTTATTCACTAATGTATCTATTAAGTAATCACACTGAGAAAGAATATGCTAAGAGAAAACTGTTTACAGTCTTCAAATTCAAGCTGTAAAACTGGACATTTAATATTATGTTTGGAGAGGTAGAGGCAGCTGAGCTCTGGGAGTTTGAAGTCAGCCTGGTTTATGCAGCAAGTTCCAGGCCAGCCAAGGCTACAAAGTGAGATCCTGGCTCAGAAAACCAAATGATAACAACGAACATTAAGTTGTCTGTTCCCTTTCATGCCTTCCGCACAAAAAACTCCAAACCAAAATAAGAAAAAAAAAATAAATAAATAAAGAAGGTCTTCACCTGGGGTTCCACTTAAGTCCCTCCTCCCTATATTTTTTTTCTGAAAAACAACAATAGCAACAACATTTTAGGAAATTGTTGGGTACTATTTCTGCATTAGTTCCCCTCCCCCCTTTTTTTCCATCATAAGTGCTCTGGGTCCTTACAGAGTAGTGAAGAGGTGGCGGGTCACCCTGTCACACTGTCATGTACTTACTCACCATACAGAGGGATCACTGCCACTTGTTGGGGCCGACAGGCTTGCTCCTGTGTTCTTTGTTCACACACACACTTACCTGCATAAGTGAGATGGATACTGTGTCACCTATCAGAGGAGCAGCCGATACCAGCTAAAGGGGCATATTTCAGGAGGAAACGTGTCCTTGACAATAGAGAATGCTGTTCAGAGTGACAGTGGTCTGTATTGCTGTCGAGTGGATGTCCCTGGACATCAGATAGTGAACTTTTCCTTGGATGTTAAACCAGGTAAGCTTTCTTTGTTTCTTTTCTTTATTTCATGCAGGTAAACCGAAGCCCCTGTTAGCTAATAATTTGTTGTTTTCCTAGAACATGGAAACAGAAAGTTCTTAGAAATATGTTTGATTAAACACTTGCTTTTGAGACATATTTAAAGACATAATCTCCTGTATCTTGTCACACAATTTGTTGCCTACACACTAGAAATATCCATATAGAAGAGGGTTCCCTCCAACACCTCTTCACTGTCACTCAGCCATGTATTAACAGATGAGCAGCAGCGGCTACTCCATAAATGATGCTGACACACAGCTCCAATGAGCTTTATTGGAATGAAGAGGTCTCAGGCTGAGATCAGACCCTAGGTGGGAGGGAGAGCATTAGACAGAAACAATACCACCTATTAGGTTCATCCCTTGATGGGGTGTGAAGCGGGTTCCAGGGAAGGAGGGGCTTCTCTTTACAACCCAGAGAGGGGTTTCATTAAGAGCAGGATTGTGTGTGACACAGAGAGAGGGAGGACTAAAGAGAGACAGAGAGAGATAGCTGCCATGACTGGAATGGCAGGTCTACAGAGGATCCTCTTCAGAGAGCAGCCTGCAGAATAATCCTCTCAGCATTCCCCCTGAGGGGTCTCAGGCTGGTCCCCAGAGCAAGGAGAAAGTCTGACTTGTTAGATCTTTTAGTGGTGGAGGTGTTAGCTGCTAGGTCTCAGGATGAAGGCTAACTAAGGTGCCTGTTAACATATCAGACACTGAGAGAATGGCCAGCAAGTCCAGTGCCTGGCACACCCAGCCCCCTCCCTGCCCCTCCCCCAGCTGCTCTTCCCTATGTAACCCAGTCATTTTGGCTAGACAGGTCCCTTTGGGTTCTTGACCTCTTGGCCCCGACTCTTGGCTCCTGGCTTTCCTCTCTCCTCACATGGGGAGTTCAGTTTGCTGGTCATGTTCACTCTGGACCCTCTGGATGCTTCTGTCTGTTTTCTCCCTCATATCTAAAGTAAATCATCTTTTCCATTATAGGTAGGAGTAGTCATGTCTTCCTTTTGTTTCTTTTTTTCATTCAGAAAGTTTCTTATCATGTGATTTAGTTCACCATAGCTTAAGTGACATAGAGTATTGAACAGCCAGATTTTGGTTAGGTCTATAAATCTGGGGCTGCTGTTAGGGAACATAGCAGACAACTTCTTTACTGTGTCAGGGAGCAGCAGGGAGGTGGGGCTTGACCTATTCAGACTGTGGCATCTGGGGATTTGGTCTAAAGGTGCAAACCCATGTTCTAACAGTAACAAGCTCATGAAATCCCCAAATCTGGACTCATTACATTCTTTCTTTCCTTCTTTCCTTCCTTCCTTCTTTCTTTCTTTCATTCTTCCTTTCTTTTCCTCTCTCTCTCTTTCTCCACCCCCCTGTCTCTGTCTCTCTCCCCCTCCATCCCTCCCTCTGCCCCTTCCTCCCTCCCTTCCTTCTTACTTTTCTTTTCCTTTTTTGTTTTTTCAAGATGGGGTTTCTCTATGTAGCTCTGGCTATCTTGGAACTCGCTCTTAGACCAGGCTGTCCTTGAACTCACAGAGATCCACCAGTCTCTGCCTCCAGAGTGCTGGGATTAAAGGAATGTTCCTTTCAAATTGATTGACACGAGTGCTTGCTCCTGAACACCTGTTTTTATGCCCCTGAAACAAAAATCCTTTCATCTGACCCTCTCCATAAAAGGGGCTTGAGGGCCAGTGAGATGGCTCAGTGGGGAAAGGTGCCCACTGCTAAACCTAACGACCTGAGTTCAATCCCTGGGCCCACATGGTGGAAGGAGAGAACAGACTCTGAAAAGTCATCCCCTGGCATCTGCATTTGTGACATCCCACAAACACAGAAATAAATGAACAAATTAATGTATTGAATTCAAGGGGCATGCTCTACTCCCACTACTTTCCTACGCTAGTAGGAACACTATAGGTTGTTTTTTTTTATTTCAAGGTAAGCACACACTATATTAAGGGACTACATTGTATTCAAGGTAAAGAAGAGTTTTTAAAGCAATTATTCCTTGTTGCTGAGGTTTTATTTTGTAGTTAGCACAGTCAAGATCAAAGGAGATTACTTACAGGGAACACATGTGTCTGCTGACACAGACAGCATGAGTCCTGGCTGATTGTGTGATCCCAGCACCACTTTGCCTTAGCTCCTGTCTGGAACTCTGCACACTGAGACCATCAGTAGCTGTTTGGATCCTTACAGTGCTTTGGATCCTGTTGACTTGTGAATTGTAGGTTGAACCTGCCTAATCCAAACATCCCAAGTCTACAGTGCTCCCAAATCTGGAACCTTTTAAGAACAGACTTGATAATACACCTGGAAAATCTAGCACCATGAAACCATCATGTGCAGAATTATCCACAGTTTATAAAGTTACCATTTAACCTATATATGTAAAGTGTAATTATATAAATGCTATATCAGTCATGTTTATACTTGAGCCTGACCAATAAGATATTATCTATATATGTGCAATTATTCTCAATTTTTTTTTCAGAGCTGAGTACCAAACCCAGGGCCTTGTGCTTGCTAGGCAAGTGCTCTACAACTGAGCTAAATCCCCAACCCCTATTCTCAATTGTTAAGAAAGAAATAAAATATTTAACTTGGCTAACTAAGCATTTTTGGATAAGAGGTATACACCTTGTTTCTCTTTGGTTGGAAGGAACTATAGACAATGTTCATTCTCTACTGCATGCTAAAATGAAGAGTTGTATGTTGTGTCTCCTCAGGACTGATTGAAGTGACTGACCATGCTGGGCATGGAAGCTATGGTCAAGTCAGTCACCACTGAGAACAGCCCCCCCACCCTACCCCCCTCCACCCCATACCCTCTTAGTCTCAAAGAGATGCTTAGAGATCTGAGGACCTGACACCTGTCATTTATGCAGTGTGTCCTTAGGAACATGGACTCTATTTCAGCTCCATGTTGTCAGCACAGCTGCCTCCTGTTGGTGAGCTGTGTCCATTGCCCTGTCCTGCCCAGTCCTAGTTGGTCAATGACAAAGAACAGAAGTTCAGGAGAGGAACTTCTCTGGGGACAGCCTCTCATGGGTCCTACAACAGAAACACTTGTCTCTTCTTGTTGACTGATCCTTTTTTTCATCTTGATTTCCAAATCCAGAAATTCCCAGAAGTCTTCCAACAAGACCCACAACTACATGGAGACCCACAACTCCAGGAAAGCCCACA